CAGCAAAAGCTTATATATGCTACTAGGAAATTACTTGGACTTAGAAATTTCTTGAATAATGGAATAAATAAAAATTATTAGCTGCAGGTATGTCCATAAACTTGAAGTATTACAAATTTTATTAAACTAACACTCAACATCAACCAAAACATCTCAGTTTCTTTTATTTAGAACATACTCACAATATTCTGTAGAATGAATTTCATTTCTCCAAAACGTTTCCTTACCTTTCTCAAAATAGGACCTCTGACCGGAAAATGCAAAACGCATACTCACTTCTTATGTTTACAGAGCCTGTGGTGATCATCTGTGCGTTAAGAATATTAAGTAGCACGTCTTCTAATGTCATTTTGAATAAAGTTTCTATAGCTTAGCTATCAAATAGGTGATAGAAGTAAGTTGAGTTCTCACTCAAATTATAGTTGTGTTTGCGTATATGTTAACCGATAACTACTCCGTCGGGTACGACATATTTGAAATTACCGCGTTTCGTTAGAGATATACTTCAGCTGGCAGAATTGTTAAAATCCATTTTAATATTGTGTTTGTTTGCGTAAACTTCTAATTGTTCGAAATACTGTAATTTGGTACTTATCAGTGCATCTACGATTACTCTTGCATAGCTTTTGTACTCAAACATAAATTTGTTTTGAAAAAAATCTTTTAAGTACTGTTTATGCCGATCTTTTAGTTTTTAAGACATATTAGAAAAGTTTTTGTATTCTCTAACTAATTCCAATTCGATAGCGTTGATGGTCTAGCTTTCAGTGTTTGAAATTCTTTCTCTACTTTTAATCAATATCATTACTTTTAATTTTGAAATATTAATAGTGAAATATTGATCGAGCATTTGTAATCTATATACATACCATGTCATCTATACACTTTAAGGACACTTATTGGAAGTCAAATAGATTTTCACTTAAAAAGTGTTCTTTTTTTAGAAACTAATTAAATTATTTATATAATAAAAAAAAATTTTTTGTTTTCTATTAGTTCACATTTAACAATTATTTATGACAGGAAAAACCTATCCCTATTTCTGTTCTTTAAAAGGTGATAAGTATGTGTTTGAATATACTTCGAAAAAATACCAAGCGCTTTCAAATAAACATTGATATATATTAGTGGCATAACATAATGTCCAAGAGCCATTTCCTATAATAAGGCTTTTATATATCTTATTATATATTACTATAAAAATATAATGGGTATTGTGCAATTATTATTTATTTCCTTTTTAGAAGCTTAAAAAGTGTTGTTTAAATAATATTCACACCTAATTAATATTTTAAATAATTTATATCTGCTCATTCAAGACTAACACTAATTTTTCTTGTGATCTTAATATCTTTGATATCTTTGTGATCTTTGATATTTTATTTAAATTGATCTAACTTAACTAAAAATTACATTACAAAAGAGAAGCAATTTTACGACTCTTCACTGCTAACAAGTGTTTTAGTCATGAGTAATCAGCCTTAGCTAACTGCGTGGCAACAGATATTTTTTACTTAAATCTTCGAGAATATGCAGATATATTAGTGTATTCAACACATTCGATTACTTCTTGATTAAAATAATATAATATAATTTATATTATTATGTTATAATAATTTAATTTTATTAGAAGTATTCATTGTTAAATACTCTATGATGTAATCTGAAGGAAATTTTTCGATATCGAAATTTTTTATATAATCGAAATAAGTATGTATCTATAAACCTCTAATTCATTATATAGATTTTTTTTCATCAAATTAGTCAGGAATAAAGTTTAAAAATTTGATCATTAAATAATAAGTAATTTCACTTAATCAATTGAAAACTTATTATTATTTATGTTAAAATACCATCATATTATTCAAATACTTGCCTTTATCAGTGCATCTGGCCTATATGTTCACATCTCTCTCCCCTGATTACTGGAATGAAGTTTTCTCAATGCTGTGGAAATCTTCTTCATTCATACCTAAGAGGTGATTTTAGTTGGTTCAAGTCTCACACTGTGGCTTTCGATGTTTTCCACTTATTAGAAAACAAAAAAAGTGCATCTACTCAGTTGCAAAATATTCCATTCTCTCACCAAAACAACGAGGAACCTGGAGTTAAAAGATTTTCTTGCTATATGAAGGGAATTTAACCTTTATACACTTATCTATCTACTCACCATAATTGTATTGGTACGTTAGTCATATAAAAAGACTAAAGCACCGTAAACTTAATCTATTGTAACTTTTAGGATACTACAAAATATGAAATGATTACCTAGCAAGTGTTGACTTGGTTATTATAGTTCCTTTAACTATTTTTCTAAATTTACTAGATCTGTACTATTGGTACAATTATTATTTAGATCACTTTACAGGATTTTAAAGTATAAAGTGAAAAATTAAAATAATTGAGAGGAAAATATTTGATTAGGCAATATATGAGTTAGTATAGAAATTATTGTAAAATCTTTGCTTTAAGGTAAAATAGGGGCAGTGAAATAAAATTTTTGACTTTTATTTTTCTTAGACATAATTAAAAAACACCTTCAATGTTATTTATTACAATAATTCAATAAATAAAAAATATTTATTGAATGTTAAATAGAATTAATTTCCAAGTAACAAAAATATTATAACAGTATAACACAAAAAAAATATTATAACAGTTTATCGATATCGATTGCAGCATTTTTTATATATAAATGTATTAGTAAGTTGGCAATGAATTTTCTACTGATTTTGAATGTATTAATACTGCAAATGTATTTTGATCTCGTTTGAAATTGTATTTGTAAAATATAGAGAAATCTAAAGCTTTTCACATTTGCCAAAGCAGGTTAGAATGATGTGAAGTAAAACTTTATATAATATTAAGTGAGAGAAAACGGGACGCCAATTACTCAAACAAACTAATGTATTAACTAAGCTTTAATATTGTATTTATTGAACTGTTTTTCATTGTTTCTCCTTTATGAATCTCAACATAATTTATAATAATTGAGATTTAATATATCCTGGAAAAATATAGTTATATTAATATAATTTTTAATAAAGGATTACTATAGATTTTTAAGAGCTATATTATTTCCTTAAATTATTTAATAATAGTATTTTAAAATTTTATATTTATTATACTTTTATTGAACAACAATTAAGTTCTTAAGTCTAATGAGAGTAAATTTAGCTTAGTCTCTTTAAACTTTTCTTATTTTTGATTGGCTACACAAACGACCGCATGAATATATGTATTCATAAAAATAAATAATAGATCTTACGATACTAACTTACATATACATTTTAATAATTTATTTAACCAAAGTTCAGTAGCGCACGTATAAAATTTGTATAGTGGGTACACCCCGAAATTTTAACTTTTAATTATTTATAATAATTTACTTATGGGTGTCGGTTTTTGCATTGTATAAACTAGATTCCGGGTTATAATAACGTGTAGACGATATGAACACTTTATAAACTATGGAATTGGAGTTTCGTAAAATTAGTGTTTTATCCTAGAGATATAGAATACTCGCTACAGTTTTGCTTTCTGAAACTCTTTCCATAGTGCATATTAACAGCAAAAATATAGTAAATATATTCATAAATTCCATACGTCATTATAAGTTCCAGAAGTAGTACTAATATATTTCAATTTTATAAAATCTAATTTTTGGAATTATACTAAAAAGTACAAGTTTTCATGTATATACTTCTTAAGCGATTTTTTTTTCATAGAAATATCAAAAATTGTGACAGAAAGTATAAAGAAAACTCCATCTCATGGAAGTAGTGTGGAGTAAATAATTGTAATGCATAATAGCCATGGTGTATAGGAACTCACACAATAAATAATAATACTCTGCCCATGTAGAAATTGCATTCACTTATAGAAAAAACAAATAATGCAGTATTTTCTCTATGACTGAACCTTGGCTTTGGCTGGGCTTTGATTATCAAAAAAAACGAGTTTTTAGGAAAGTACTTTTTTGACGATTCTTCGGACTGTTCATTGTTAAGAACATAGATTGTATACATTAACGTGTTGTATTAGGCAAATTGAACAATTGCTTTCAAATAAATCATTGTTACAAATAAAGATTAACAAAAACAACTTAAATTATTTATTTATTTTCAATATTTTTACTTTAAAGTCTTCTGAAACTTTATCTTATAATTATTGATTGATTTCAACATATTTAGATACATAATGGTAGACAAAGTATACATATATAAATATAAAGGAAAAGTTTTTCCTTTTTTTAAATAAACTTTATAGTAAAATATGGAACACTACGCCTGATTATTGATGTATAAAACTTTTATATATCTGTTGTTGTTAATGTTAGTTTTAAAAGTAAGTCTAGTGTTGGGAGCATTTTCAAAATCTCAAGAATCTCCAAGAAATAACATTTATGTTGTTTGCTTTCTTGGTGTAGACTTAGATTCTGTAAATCGGGCTTGTGATTTAGTGAAATACAATGCAAAGCAAATACTGTTTTAGATGGAATTAATTTTTCCTCTTTATCTCTTATTAGTAATAATGGAGTGCGGAAGGATATCTGTAATAGGTCATCACAACAAGCAACCAACCAAAACCGTACTAAAATTTGATTATCAGATAATTACAAATCATTATACTATATTATTGATTATATTAGTATGTATTATAAGAAGTAAATATTCTATATTTTTTATAACATTAAAAACAAATACGTTGATAACTTAATGTTCTTGTATACGATCCTCTTAAAAGACAGACCTTCGTGCACCTACTTCAGAATATGCAAATCCTCTTGCACATGCGGGCCGGCTCTGTTTAAGCTTAACTTTCGTATTTGTTAAAGATTTAAGCTTATATGTATAAGTATTTATATACGTATACCTTTACGTATATGTATACATATACATATTTAATCGAAACTTAATTTATGCATGTATTGTTGATTTCGATAAAGGGTATAAAAGATGTCTCCAAAGAAAAGGTGGATCATTCGCGTTTGATCATTATAACTGAAAGATTCATTTAAGTGATTAAGTGTTACTCTAATCAAGTTATTTAGAATTGAAAATAAAAGTGTGTGAAAATAATAAAAAAAACTAAAAGTGTGTGAAAAAGGATATCTAAAAAGGACATTCGAAACTATTCAACTTTAAGGACTTTTTTGAAGGATTATTTCTAGTGAGTCAGTCCTTTATCTGATACTTTAAAGTATATAAATTAGTTATGTGAATAGTTTAATAATATTTCAAAAAAATTTTTGTCTTTTTAATTATTTTTAAGAAATAATGTTGAATAATTAAATTAATATTAAAACAAAAAATCTAATTTAAATTTTAATTAACTTTATATTTGTGATATATTTTAAATTAAATTAAATTATTTATTTTATAATTGTGTTAAATTGAGTTGTTCAAATTTTAAACTATTTCCAAAGCAAAGGATGTGGCATTGAGCTTAATTTTGGCAGAACTATTACTTATCATATATGTTGATTTTTTTAAGTATTTATTTTAAGAAGCGATGAAGAAAATTTAATCAGAAGTCCTGAATAAATTTTTTTAACAAATTTTTAGTATTATTTTAAGTATTATATTTTAGTAATATTAATTTAATAATAGTAATGTGTTTTATTTCTAGTAATTTGTAATTGATTAACTTAAAAACTTGTAATTAATAACAAAAATTTGAGCTTCAATTTAAAACTAATATCATTTGTGAAATAATTTCCTATTAATAGGACTAGAGGTTTTTAAATCACATACTTTTTTATTAACTAAAACATTTTTTTATCACAAATTTAATTCATAAATCAGTTTAACAATTTTAACTTAAATAAAAGCTTAAAACATGGTTCAAATATAACTGCTTTCTTAATTAACTTAATCTAAAAACATTAATTTATAACTCAGTAAAAACAGTTCATAGTTCTAATTAATAAATAAAATTTTTAGTCCACTATAATATATATAAATAATGCCACCTGAGATCAACTTGCTTAACTTCATATTAACTTTTTTTCTTGTATCTCACTGAAGTAGATAATATTACACCCAATAAAGGATTACATATTTATGTAGATAGCATGTATTTCAAGAGAGAATTGCTTAAACATGTTATCTGATTTAAAACCTAAAAGAACGAGATTGTACGAGATCAAGTTCGAACTATTTTACTTGCATATTTTATAAATTTTTATAAAATTTATAAATAAATTTTTAATTTACTCACTTATACAAATATTTAAAATATTAAACTTGCATTTATTATTTATCATTGAATTAATACTTCTTGAATTACAATGATATATATTTAGTTTTTTGAGCTTGGTAGTACACACTAATTAAATTAATTAAGTTAGCAAATCGGAGCCTATGAGAGGTTTCGGTTCACGTTTTTAGTATTTAAAAGGTACGACTAGAGTCCAACGAAAAACCAAGTTGAAATCTCACTGCATAAAGATAAACTGTGAAATTTTAAAAATAAGAGTTCCAAGTTAAAGATTCAGTAAAATATATATATATATAGCTTTTTTGAGAAGTGATGTTTAAATGCAAATAAAAAGCTGATGTAAAAAGGATACTTTTAGTTATAATTTAATTCAAAATAAACATTAAAAAAGTTATTTTAAATTATTCATTTTATTTGAAACATTATTAAAAATTAATAAAAATTAAGAAAAGTTTACTGTGGCACTATTTGAAATCTAAGCTGAAGTTAAATTGTTATTAAGCGTGAATTCTTAAATAACTTTCCAAAATATTGTGGAAGATATCAGAAACAAATTTTGTTCATATTAGTATTCTATAATGTAAACATATAATTCGTAACAGAAAATTATTTAACAATGAAGTATGAAATAATTTAATATTTGATTTAAATAAAATTTTTTAAAAATGTTCGAAACCCTTAAATTTGATTTGAAGTAGAGATGTATTACAGATGCATTCATAAAAAAAAGAAAAATCTGCTAAAAATCGGATAGAATGGTAGTCTGATTTTGTTAATATTGTTTAAGTTTTTTTTTTATTAAAAAGTTTATATTATGCGTATGAAGTATCTGGAATTTATAATTTGTGCATAAGAAATCTTGCGTTTTGAAATATTTATTATTTATTATCAGAAACTGTACGAAAGTGATCGAGCAAGCACAGTACTCACCTGAGTGCTTCGAAACCTAGAATAACCATTTTGAAGAATACATTTTGAGTTAATTGGGGCCATTTAAAAAAATTCCCAGAAGAAGTGAAGGATTTACCTTATCCATTTATGTAAAATATATTAAATTGAATCAAGCGCTGACTTAGTTGTATTGTACTCAATGGGGTCTACTTTGAACATGACAAAATAATTGACTGATTCTATTTAATCATTTCGGATACTTTGTACACTGACTGTAAGTTGTATTTTAAAGTTTATATTTACAAAAAAATTGAAACACGGCAAGTTTGAGATATTTTAAGGCAGTAACTTGAATCATTTAATACGAAATAGCTATTAAATAAGTTGTTACTTTATACTATATACTATATATATAAAAGTAAAAGTATATATATATGGTATATATACCTCGGTTTACGGCCGCTTCGTTTAACGGCAAACTCGCTTAACGGCCTAACCATATTTATGACCGTGTTTCATTTAACAGCCAAAAAATACCTCATTATCGGCCAAGAAAAATGATACAATTTATTTATGATATTATTTTGCTTATTAATAGTATATATGCGTTGCTTCTACGTAAATTATTAGTGTGCAGACAAAATGCATATCAAAAAAGGTGGCATTTTAGTAGTACTGAGTCCAGGTGTGTGTTCATGTGCAATTATTTAGATGTGCATTGTGTTTTTAATGCTCGCAAGTTGTTAAAAGGTGTTTATACGCTATTAACTCAGTACGAAATTGAAAATAGGAAAAGTTTGTTTGAATAATGATTTCATACATATCTCTATCCTGAAGGTGAAACATATTTAGAGAAGAACAATTTATCTAATAAAGCTCTACTCCTTTTAGACAACGCGCCATGACACCCAATAAGCCGTTTGCAATTTCTCTAAAAAAACTCAAAATGCAGTTTTTACCGAAAGACACCACGACTTTACTTCAAGTCGTGTTATATACAGGATCAAGATGTTATATATATTTTATTATATTTTATATATATTTTAAAAAGGTCATGCAAGTTAATTCAGAAGACTTCGATGAGGTAAAGGCAACCATATCAGATAATAGTATTAAATTAACATCCTTAATTCTGAGGAAGTGTTTTGATAACATTGATTAAGTGCTTTGTGACTTTAAAATTGCAAATTCACTTCCATAGCAAAGCTCGGACGTTCGTAAAAATAGTTAATGAAGCTATGTAACCATATGAAAAAGTTTTAAAATAGCAACTAAAAAAGCAATTATGAAGATCTTAAAAATATATATATCAGTAAATAAATATATATCAGATTTGTGATGAAATATAAATTTTTTTCTTATTATTACATTTAATGGCTTTGACTAAGCTAACACTAAAGCAAATATTAAATGTGAAATCTTATTTCTCGCGATGTAGTCTTATCTTTATAAATCACAAAAAAACATTAACATTGCAATATTAAATGTGTCTCTACACAAAACCATTAAAATATTTTGTTTTAATATAATCTCCGCCAAAAAACCGCTTCGTTGGCATTTTGTTTTTAGTATTGATCTTTTGCAAATCCAAAGATTTTGTATCTCAAATTATAATAAACAAATATCAGCAGAAAATCAATGAAAAAGGCAAAAAAAAAGATTTTGTCAAAAATAATTCAAATTTCCTAAATGTAGATATTTTTATAAAAAAAATTTAGTTTGGAGAAGTTTTATAGTAAACTTCTGTTTTTTTAACGACTTTTGGATTTATCACAACTTAAAACGATGAAAAAAAATATGTCTCTAACTATATATGAATTTATAAGCAAACTGAAGTCTTTTCAAAAATTAATTTCTGAATTTAAGTTATACAAATATTGTACTTAATTATTAAACTGCACTAATCAGAATGTATTTTTACACACTTTTTTTGTATTATTATTATATAACATCATACCATAATAAGGTTTGGATTAAGGTTACTTTTTTTTGATATTATGTTTTCTGATTTTATACTACTTTGAGTCAACTTCCATTGTGAGTTATCTCCAGGTCAGACTATACTTAATTGTCTATTCGTTAACGCTCATGCATCTCATAATATTTTTAATAACATTCTTTTACGTTTTCGATGGCTTAGTTAGATCTGTTTCTTTATCATCTTCAACGCATAGTCCTCTAATCTTGTCATTGCATTATCGTAACAGCAGGGAGACGAATTTTGCAGCTTTATGCTCATCTGTACGATTTTGCTACTAATTTGGATGAACATTATAATCCATTTGGCGAAATTATCTCATTTTAAATAAAGATTATAGTTAGCCACACAAATATCGATATTACATTAATATAGGACGTGTGAGAGTTAGGCTAAGTTGCGTTCTAAATGAGGGAAATTCTAAGTTGTACCGATAATGTAGTGATGTGTCGATACGTGTTAATAAATGGCTAAATGTGTGCAGTGCAAAAAATCCCAAAAAATCTCCCATTTGTTTTAGCATCAATTTAGCCAAACTCGCACACGTCCATAGGACATACCAAACTACTGCAGGAAAACGGACTATTACTCTTTGAATTTAATGAGGAACGTTAAAAAATACATATGTTTATTGTCTTCTTCAGTACGTTACAAACACATTTACATCCTTTTACTTTTATCTGTAAAAATAGAACTTTTTTTATATTTTTCAAGAATTTAATTAACTAATCATGTAGTTGTTAACTTCGCGACAAAATACCATTTATCGGTAAAAAACCGTGTTTTAGAACAAATAAACAAATATATGTATTTAAAGCGAAAAATGGTTTTAAGTTGAAATTATATACAAAAGAAAAACAAATTAATCGTAAAAACCATAAAAACATATGGTTTAGTGTCAATGGAAATTTAATGGAAAAATTGCAAAGAATTTAATTACGCAGTCGACATCCATTTATATGCGAGGTTTAAATTAAAATAATGTACAATACTGCGAATTAACTCTTAACAGACTTATAAGCTGTTTTCAATTATTATTTGTTTTTTCTTCCATTAATGGTTATTGATAACAATCGATAGCATGAGAAACACAGATTTAGTTTTTATTATTCATTAATAAAATATATACATAATGTACCGAAACCTTTTGCGGCTATAAGAACTTTTTATGATCATCTAAAACTAAAAAATGTCTCAAGAAGATATTTGAAAATCTGATGGTCCCGCACGAATAGAAACTCCAACACATGTCACCAACTTCCTTTCGCAAATGAAATCAAAAAGCGTAAATGGCAATAGATCGGGCACACATTGACGAAGCCATCAAACGAAATCTGCAACCAAGCATTAACGAGGAATACTCAAGGAAGCAGAAAACCTGGTATGCTCAAGCAAACGTGAAAGCGTGCACTAGAGAAAAAAATTGATGCAAGCGTGAAAACCTTTGGAAAAATTAAAACTTTGGCAAGACATCGTGACCGTTGGAGAGAATTCGTTGTGGCCCAATGTTCCCCTAGAAACTCAATGGAATGAAGAAGAAGGTAAAAAATTGCTTTACCTTGTGAAATATATACCAGCTGGCGACAAGAAGAAGTTATCTAATCGCTTGATTTATTATAAAAAACAAAATTATAATAATATCTATAATCTCTACTGGGCTTATGAATCTGGTTTATATATATAGCACAAAAAAGTTTCATTTCTGCGAAAGAAATGGTAGCACAAATAGGATAGGAATAGAAGGGCGAAGACTGGATAAACTGTTTATAACAAAACGATTTTGATTGATTTTGTTTTAGAATTCGTGTCAACTTCGAGCAGTTTCGTATCAAATCAACTAAAAGTGGTATTAATGATCTATTATTTATTAAATCTATCTTTTTAATTGCAAAATAGATCACACCAAGTACAATGTCTTTACGATATAATTTTCATTATCTTTTGGTCTGGTTTCCAGTACACCTTGAAAAAAATTAATAAATATTTTATTTTTTTTTTTTAACCAATCATATATTTAAATTTCCTAAAAACAATTTTTCGTGAAATTATTTCTTAATTCCCTTTTTAAGTTCAGTTAACATACTCTTTTTATACAAAGATCCGTTTCTTACAAAGATCCGTAGAAAAAATTTTTTTTGTTCTTCTGTTAATACAAATAGTTCATTTTTTTAAGCTGTTTTTTAATTCAGTTTGTTCACACTTTGGTTGTTATTTATTTTTGTATGTACTAAGCTATATACTGAACTAAGCTAAATTTCATTGAATATCAGAAATTATCACAAACAAAAAGAATATAGACAATGTCTAACAATAATTTCCTAAATGATATTAAAATTTTTTTTTTATCTGAATATTGATATTCAAATGCAAATACATATTATTTTTTATAATATATTTTTTTATATAAACAAAAACTTTTATGGGTTTATTGTGAAAAAATCTCAACAAAATCTAATCGTTATAGATGCAAAATAAAATCTGAGTTAATTGACGCAGAAGTAGTGAACAGTGAAAATATAACAGCAAAATGCAGGAAAATTGATTAGTTATGATAAAGTACACAGAAAGCAAAACAGCATAAAAACACAAACAACAAAAATGAAATTCGATCACCAAATACTTCGCACACAAAGAAATGCAATGCAACTGCTCAATGCTTGAATCAAGTGATATAAAATTTCCCCTACGCGTACGAGAAAACACAAAAATCAATTGGTTTGAACGTTTTCTCATATTTTTCCTTTGGCACGAATAATCGAATGCTTTGTTATTCACAGAATAGAACGGATCAGCTGATTTATTGCAGCACAACTAGTTCAGCCTTAAAACGGTTGATTCAAATATTCGAATTTGAATATATTCGAAAACTTTAGAAACTAGTTTTTCCTTTTTATATTTTAAACTAATTTTTATAGTGAAGCAAAACCTAAAAATTTAAAATATTTAATATGAAATGTATATATTAAATATATTAAAAATAATTATTAATGTAATATTATAGTAATATAATAAATAATATAAGACCTGTTTTAAAATCTGCTTGTTTAAAGAAATACAAAAATGAGTAAATTAAAAATTATTATTATAATACAATTTTAAATAATAATTAAAATTAATTATTTTTTTATAGAATAATACAACTTTAAAATGGAGACACTCAAGGACGAAAAACTTAAAGATGTCGATATCGGAGAGCAACCAATTCCAACAACTGTACCACCACCTGAACCAGCTCCAACTGTAAAAAATGAAGTACGCAAGTTAATGCGTTCTGGAAGACGGGTTGCGAGAGTTCGCACTTCGATAATAACCGACAGAGCAGCCATAGTTAGAGCAAGATTACGTGCCAAACTATTACGTAAGAAAACTGTTAAAACGAGCGATGGTTCAAAACCCTCAAGCAGATATCACTTTCGCCAAAAATATTCTGAAATACCAAAATTAATTGTGCAAAAATATGAAATGTACAAGCAGCTAAAGGACTTAAAGTAATATGCTTTATGACAAATGATAAAAAATAAAAAAATTAAATGCTACACACTACAGATACACATTTCCACTAAGTACAACAAATCGTAATTTATTATATATTTATTTTTTCAAAAGGTCTTATTTGGTTCAAGTACATAGCAATGCACCAAAGCGAAAAGTTAAATTCCAAACAGTGAAAACGGAAGAAAAAGTACGACTGCGACTTGAATTTGAAAATTGGATGGGACACAAGCACGGAATGCCAAAAATAGAACCTATAAGTGAAGACGAATCTGAACCAGAAAAAGTACTGTATACATCAGAAATTAAAGTTAAAAAAGAAGAATTTAATACGAAACAAAATGAAAAGATTAAGCAAGATTATAAAGAAATTCCATTTGATATGCAACAACAACAGAACAATGAAGTATCAAACAATAATGATACTTACCACTTTACTTCGCAGTTGCCTACTATAAAAGAGGAAACATTGGAATTAATGGACATGCAAGAACCAATTTTCGAGGAGGTTGTCGAAGACGGAGTGGTAGTTGAAGAAAATGGCAATTATTCACAGCATTTAGCTCCTACTCATAGATCAGCAATATATGTTCCAAATTTTCGACTGGTTCCATTGGCTGAGACGCCATTCGCTACTCAAAACGCACATAATCGTGTCTATGCAACACTTGAAGAGTTTTTTGCGGATCGAATTCGATTGTACTCTCCTTTAATAGAAATATGTTTGGCTACTATGGGGCAGGAAGAATTCGATGCATTTCTCTGGTATGCTTTCGTACCGCCAGCATCGTTACTCCCAGCGAATACTGTCCCGACTGTTCATTTATACTGGAATCCACCAAATGATAATGTCAATGCACACTTTTTTGGATGTGAACATGGATATAATCATATTGACAATGCTGAAATTACTGACGATGAAATTGTAAATAATGAAGATGTTGGTGTTGTAAGTACTGATGGCAATGAAGATAATATTGACATTGAAAATTTTGATGACGATGAAGGAAATGTTAACATTGGTGATTCTGTTTCTGATAATGACAAAAAAAAGGTGGATATGGAAAATTCTGATAATGATAAAGAAAATGTTGATTTTGAAAATTCTGACGATGAAAAAGAAAATATTGATATGGAAAACTCCGATGATGATAAAGAGAATGTTGATATTGAAAGTTCTGATGATGACAATGAAAATATTAATATAGAAAATTCTGATGCCGAAAATGAAAATGTTACAAACGAATATACTTTAAACGCAGCAAATGTTGAAAAGGAAAATATTAGAAATGAAGATATGGAGAATGAATATGTAGAAAATGAACATTTTGAAAATGCTGGTATAGACAGACCACAAGGAAATTTTAACCGCTATAATGGAGACAATAATTTTATTAACGATTTATATCGTATCAACATTCGAGGCCACGAAATACAACCACCATCAGGACGTTATCATAATAATTTATTTGATCCATATGCACCACCGGAATGGTTTAATGGCATTGGATATCCTGAACATGTATTGGCATCTTATCATCCATTTGGCTTTGAAGAACGCATTTATATTGGCAGCCAAATTATAAATGAAGAGTTTAATGCGTACATCCGATATGTCAGTCGAAACAATTAATTTTGAAAATACCGTTTTAATACGGTATATCATCCAAAAATTATTAATCTTATAAAAACATTTTAACTGGATGTATACCACGAGTTTAGTACTTAGAAATAGCACTTAAATATTCTATACTTTATATAACTATTGGGAGAGGGGAATATATATAATCTATCTAGAGTGAATTCAAAACGTTTCACTATATTATCGTAAACATTTAATATTATTAACTACAAACCTTTTATTCAATAAAAGTTTCAACGGCAATGTACATGTAATTAGTACAAAGTCCATTATCTAACTTTTTGATTATTTTTCCAACTTTACAGGTTCGTCAGTAGCGAATATTCTGTATCTATTGCCAACATCTCAAGCGAGTGGAGCACTCAAATTGTATTGTCAGCTTTTACAAATATCTCAGATACGAAGTTTACCAAACAAGGAAATGTCTAAGAGAAAAACATTACGGTTTGTATTCCTTTAAGAGGAAACTCTTTCCAGAATGGATGGATATTTCTTACATTAATTTTAGCACATTGATTTGCAAATTTGTTACAACATTTTTTATGTATTTATTTTTTTTTTTAATTATAGACTTCATAAAGGCTGACTGACAATTGATGTTAGAGTCCTAACATTGCTCTTTGCGTAACAGATTTTCAATTCTGTATATTATATTATAACCAACATATATATTTATATTAAAACTTTGTTAACATTGTATTTAATCAATAAAAACTATAAAAACATATGTTATATTTGCATATATTTGAAATGTATCATTATGTAATTTTTAATATATTAAATAAGAAGGAGGAGTGTCCAAATCTAAATCTCTTTGATCCTTCAATTGTCGTTCAACCAACAACACATTATAGTTCGCTAGAATATTTAAGCAATAAATGCATAGCACAAAAAAGATTTACTTGAAACCAAGGAAGATTTTTCTTTGAAATCAAGTCCGTGTCACAACAAAATTAATGTAACACAATAAAATAACAGACCTCCGCTTAGTCTCTGAAATCCTCAATAAGTGTTCCAATTACAGCGCTACTTTTCATAATGTCAGCTCATGGATCATGAATTGTTGATAGCTTTAGATTCTTTTCACCAATCGCTTCAGTTGGTTTTTCCACACATAATAAACAATTAAAAATATTTTTTTGGACATCATGATTTGAAACATAATATCGTAGTTGTTGAATGGCCGATTTTGCTTGTTTATTCGTTCTAAGTGATCCTCACCGGCGTTATCATCCTCATCACTCTCATTATTAATAACCGCAACTTCTTCTAAAATATTGTTATTTATTAACATACCAGATACAGCCACGTCATTATCAATGTTCATGTAATCATCGAATAGGGTGGGATTCTCAAAGTTCCCACACATTCGGTCCCATGTTGTTGTTGTTGTAAACCGCCGGGACCTGAAAACAGATAACATGAAAGGATTACAAGACGTTTTCAGGCAGGTTTTTTGTTTTGCATTACGAATTATAAGAGGTTTATTGTTCTGCATTATAAAATGTATGAAAATATTACGAATTAACGAGATTTTTTCAAAGGGACTAGCAGTTTGTTACGAATTATTGAGGTTTTCGATTTATCGGGGTACGAACTACCACAATTCGACTGTATTATCTAACATTATATTTCTATGTATGTAAAATAAGAGAATATGTATAAATGAATTAATCAATAAATTCACTCTCGATCTGACTACCGAATGATTAATACATTACAGTTATATTAGCGAAAGTAATATGAATATATGCAGATGTAATGAATTTAACCGAGATTTCGCGTCTGTAGTCCTAGCTTGCAAGCCTATAATTTCTACGTTCAACTGAAAACTTCTTTTTGCGTTATTAAAAATACACCACAACAAAAATACTAAGTTTTAAAAAATATAATTTAAATTAAATTATAGCCAAAATCCAAAGGATTCACTTATGCTTGTTAGCTCATTGTGTCATAGACTTGACATAATGAATCAATTAAAATTATTAAGCATTACACACTATTTAATATCTATGAATTAACAACGGAACATTATTTGATGCAGAACTCTATCATTCCAACTTAACCTGACCTACTATTTAATAACAAACTATCGAAACGATTAAAGTTTTAATAATTAAAGTGAGCAACCAATCACGTAGAATTTTTTTCTATATTTATAGTTTTTATTTATATATAATATATATTGGAATATTATTTATTCGTACACACACATACATACATTTATTTCCTTTAAACATTTTCATAAAAAAAAACAAAAATATTTTCTATAATATTATATATAGTTATAAAGTGAAACAAAACTTTTTGTTAATAAACATGTTTTAAAAAAATTATATAAATTACTGTTAGATATTTGATTAATTTACAAAAATGAATAAGTTTTTTATTTTCGTTAATGATTAAAAATAATCAGAAAACGTCATGCTATTGCGCAAAATATTTAAGCTTCAATGAATGTATATAAGGAAATCAAAATTTTGAATTCAAAATTAAAAAATTAAATATAATATTTAATATAAACACGTTTATGGCATTATTTAAATTAATTCTTTCTGCATAGAAATATTTTTAAAAATACACAGTACAATATATAAATTAAAACAAAATCCAAAAAAAAAATATGTATAAACAAACTATTTGTTTTTTAATAATTTAAAATTTTTTAAGGAAATTATTTTTATCAATTGTTTGTTTAATATTATTTGATTACTTTTTTTGTAAAGTAATACAGATTTTACTAGCAAATATATCCTTCTTTACAGTTTGAATTAAATTTTTTTCGATTTAAAAATATTTTATTTTTTAAAAGATTTAATTTCTTTTCTGCTTTGAAGCAAATTATTATATATTTTAATGTCATCTTAATATTAATAATTTTAGATTATAATTTAAATTTTCAAATTACTAAATTAGAAATTTTACTTTATATGCTTTACACTTTTTGTCAACACTATTGCCAATATTTATATACATTTTTTATGTATCTTAACTGAAAAAGTATATAATGTGAATTGGTTATGTTTAAAAGGGAAGCAACATTTTTAGTAATATATTTTTGCAAAATTTGCCTTTCTACAAAATTGTAATTTTAGTACTTTTCTATATCTTTCTGTCACTTAATTAGATAAAGTGAATATTATAAAACTTAAAATTACAAAGCTAACATACCTTAGAGATTAAATTAATTTAATAAGTAATTTAGTAATAGCTATAAAAATTATTGATCAATCACAATAAAACTAAAATTGTAAACAATTTAAGATAAAATATAATATTAATAGAACTTATAAATATTGTATCCATATGCATCCATTCGCATGCAAGTGTTGAAGTCCATTTTCATTTCGAATAGAGTTACAATTAATTTATATTTTTTAGCTTCAATTTAGTTTAGTGGAAACATAATTTTAAGCGTTTTCATCAGTCACATAAATGTAACCTTGTTGCTGCAAAACATTTAATCGTTTCTCCACCGCATCCCGATCTAAAATTATATTTCAAAATTACAATATTTTCAATAATGAAATATTTCAAGATTACTTACATTTATTCAAAAGCATTTTATCCTGTGGATGATTACATTTTTGTACAAGAGAATGTAGTAAAATGTGTGCCGTATTGTAGCGCTCGAAGCAGTTCTTAGTATTGCTCAAGAGCTCATCCAAGGCAGCCGCTTGACACTATTCGGAGTTTTTTAGATTTTTAAAAATAATAAACTAAAAATATAAACATTGACTTACCATATCCAATGCATAATCATATAGAATTTTATCTGCTGTTATATTAAATGCATTCGCTTTCTGTAATAAGCCAGTGCCATTTAATTTTTTGGATTCAAACAAAATAGTACGGTACTTCGAATTCATTGTAAGGAGTGCTAAAAAAATTACATTTATTAGTCTTCTATAGACAGTGATATAAGACTAAGTTTCACAAACAATAATCTATAGCTGTATTTCTTGCACTGAGAACTAACTACGTTACTTACCATTTTTAACATTCGATGAAGGCTTTAAGCTGCCACTCCTTAGTTGTTGCGAAGCTAAATTTAATCCAGATGAAAGCAACTGCAAAGCACGTACAAGTAACACTAATCTTTCTGCTCGTTTGCAATGCTCAGGGGCATGAGGAGGTATCTGTTGTTGTTCAGCGCCTGCAGCCATAAGAGCCGACGACAATGGTGCACACCGAGAATCAGCCACTTCTTGTATACAGTCCGTTAAAGCCAGCACGAAATTCAATTTGGATAACGTTTCATTGTGCTCACGATCCATAAGAGTTTCTTCTGACAACTCAGGTGCGTGGAATGTGTGTAGATGATGACTCTCAGCAACCGTGCCAGTAGTTACTCCAGTGTCTAATAAGCTTTGTAGTCCTCCTGTAGCACCTAACTCAGGTAATGTGAAAGCACGTGGCCCAAGCATATGATGATTGTTGTTTTCTGAACCTGATCCAGAACCTGCTGAACCAACTGAACCGGGTCCAACAATTAGCGTTGGACTACCTAACGTGGGCAATTTTGTTAGCGCGGACGGCAGCACAGGTGAACTATGGCCAGAACGTCGAAGTGGTGACTGTGTTTGTCCACCTGGGCTCACCTGCCAAGTACATGGAGCACTTGGTGGTGGAGTCTCTGACAAAGAACCACCTGAAGTTGAACGTAACCGGCCAGGCGGTGTGCCAATAGCAAATTGCACCGCTGGCGGTGAAATTGAATTAATATCACTACTAATACTACTCTTACGATGATCTGGTCTTTGTTTAACACTAATTGGTTGGGAACGCGGTATTTGAGCAGGAGCTACCGGCAATTTTGGTGATGCAGCCAAATCAGTTGAACCGTTTTTAGCACGTATAAGTTTATCTGTATTTCCAACATTTGCATTTGTTGAAAGACGTCGAACTGGTGTTGGTACAGGTTTAGGTTCTGATATAGGTAGACTACTTGGGCGTGGAGGACTGGATTGATTTTGCGTTATTTGACGATTAGCAGAATGCCTTAACATTTTTAACAATATATACAATAATAATAAGTTAGTATATGCTGTGACAAAAAAATATTTATATTATCATACTTTTTATCATAATCAATAACATGATGATCTTCTGGAAGATTTTTCGGGACAAGCACAAAGTCATCAGAATCTTCTGGCGAGCTTGAAGAAACACTATTATTTTCACTATCACAAAGCACACCAACATTTGTTATAGTAGCACAAATTGCAGGATTTTCAACCACGGAAACTAATAAGGATTTCAAAGATGAAAATAAAATATATCAATATTTATTTAATTAAAAGAATGTTATTAATAAAAAACCCACCAGCATTTTCTTCGTATTGTTCATCCTTTTGCTGCTGCTGTTGTTGTTGTAAAAACTCTTGCTGTTGTTGTTCCAATTGTTGTTGCAAGGGACTTTTTACTTTTGCAGGAGGAGTTGTACTCATCATAGCCAAAGGAGCTGGTACATCAACTTTAGTTAAAAATAAGCATATTAATTTAAATAAAACATAAAATTTATTATGTGTAAATCAAATACCTGGTGAGGTTGCTACCTTCTTGCCCTGTAAGAATCTGTGAGTGAAAAAGCTTTCAAATGATATTCTGTCCTTGGCATTGCGACGTAATAAACACAAAAGCAGTTCTCTGAGCTCTGGTGAGACTGCACTAGGTATTCTGCACAAAAATTAAATTTAAAATAAATTAAAGTATACGAGTATATATTGCAATGCACACATTTTTATTTTCTATTTAAATAACGTAAGAGACTGACGAACTAAAAAGAAAATTAAAACAATATTTAAAAGTACTCACTTTGGTGCCAAATTGGCATTTTGCTCATAATAGAATTTTAATTCATTCGGTGTTTGTGCATAGAATGGGGCTTTGCCTGTTAAACATTGATAGACAATTGTACCTAAAGACCAGAGATCAGCTTTAGCATCATACTGCAGAGACATAATAACTTCTGGTGCCTGTGAAAAAAATATATGAAATATAAATTTTAATTATGAAATTTTTTTAATATAATAAAAGTAATATCTTATATTATATATAAAATAAAAAAAAAAAAAAAATAATTTTTTAAATCATATCATTAAAATTGGAAGGCTACTCACCATATACATTGGCGAACCGCAGAGTGTGGCCGCCATGACACCTTCATTCAAGAAACGAGCGAACCCAAAATCAGCTGAAAAATATATTTATTTAGTTATAGATTTTAAATTTTTAAAAAATTTTACTGATTCACACACCAATCTTAAGGGTAATTTTTGATGGGCTTGGCAATATTTTGCCGCAGTTGTGCGATAATAAAATATTTTGAGGTTTGAGATCACGATGCACAATTCCTTTAGTGTAAAGAGCTTTCATGGCACCAGCTGGAATTGAAAAATTTATTTTATTTAATTAAATTAAAATAACAATTAATAAACAACAAAATTTTTTTAAAACAAAAAGAACGACTGTTTCTTTAATTTAATATGTAAACTAATCGGTATTAAATTGTTGATATTTGTAAATTGCACGGTTGTATAATTACGAATTTCTTGTATAATTATGTAAAGTAATTAAGATGTTAAATATGTTTTTAAAACTATACTGGATTAGAAGAAAATTCTTTAATAAATTATGTATTGAAGAGTACTAGACTTGAAACAATCGTAAAAAAATAACTGAGAAATAATCTGACATTACAAAAATAGAACCTATTATAAAAAGGATTTAAACAAAAGTTCCTTCTTATTAACAAGGAATGATTATCTTGAAATATTTATAGATTTTTAAATGTTTTGTTTAATAAATTGAAGTGTTAAAACGTTGAAGAAACACCAAATTAGCTAATAATTAGAACATAATAAATATAATTTGTTATAATTAAACTAATAATAATTATATCACAAACAATAATATTTAGCAAATCTTGATTATATTTTAAAACTTTTCAGCAATATTTTTTATAAGAAAATTATAGAGTTAAGATAATCTTCAAAGCAATCCCCAATAATAAGAATATTTCTTAAATAATTTATTCTTTTAATGACCAAAATTTAAGTACTCTGAATACGACTACAGAATATGGACGAAATATTAGCTTAAATAAAAAAAATTTTCAAAAACTAATTTTCTTTAAAATGTGTATTATTTATTATTAATATTTTTTAATTAATTATATTAAAAGAGATACTTATATTGCAAAAAAAATTTTAAGAGTTTTATATTATTGATAATGGTTTTCTATACTCAATTCGACTCGAGATGAACTCGCCGAGTTTTTGGACAGTTTGTTAGATTTGAAATTCGGATGTATTATCTGAATCTTCCAAGTTTTTAAAATAGCGCAAAAATCAATCAAAATTTTATTTGAAAATTTTACTTAAATGTATTTAAAAAACTGGGTTTTATTGTTATTTAAAAAAAAAAAATTGCAATAGATATGTGTGTACATAAATGATCTATCATCTGATTTACTTTAAAATAAATAGTTATAATTTTTCTTACCTAATTGAATTAAAAATAGACGAACCGTGTCTTCACTTAAGGTACCCTTAGCATTTAAATAATCTGCCAAATCACCGCCATTGCAATACTGTAATAAAAAATAAATAATAGTTTAATTATTTTTAGGTAGTAATATTTGAAATTGATTTACAACTAAATAATCTAAACCATTTGTATATAAATTTTTACAGAAAATAATATGAAGCAAGGTTTTCTACTGTTGATCAATTTCAATATCTTTTATATTTTTAAATAATTTTAATTAATACTCGTACTATTTTAATATGGAATTAAATATCATGTACTTTAAGAGTTTTGTATTAAATTTACGAGAAAAACTTTATTATATAATATTATAGTAACTGTATTAGCAATAAAAAATTATATATTATTTGATTATTATTTATTAATATGAGATAATGTTTATATTTAAATGATAAATTATAAGTAATTAGTAAATAATAAATAAATTTATTTTAAACTTATGTTTGTACACAAATTATGAGTTAAGGTAAAATAAGTATTTTTATTACTAATTAATGTATTATTAACTAATAGACTAATTTTTATATTAAAATAATAAACTTAGATAAACAACACAATCAGTTCCTAAACTATAATTAAATCTCTAATAAATTACTAAAAATATTTTTTTTATCATTAATGTTACTAAAAAAAATTAAAGTGTATAAGATATTATTATTTTTAATAATTATTTGTACATAATATTAAGAATATTAATTTACAATGTTCGAGTAGTTGAAATAAAAATAACATCAAAGACATTACGTAATACAAATACAATATAATACATTTTAGATCTGCTCTCCCATGTTATGTCATAAATTTGTATACCCCATCCCTAATTTTTTACGACACCACCAAATAACTACATTTGTTTGTAATTTAAACCAGTTATAAAAAATATCCTGTTTAAAAAATTATAATAACGAGCGATTTTAAAGGAAATTTGTCGTAATAGGCATAGATGTAATCTTAAAATAAATTAAAAAAATAAATAAATAAAACTAAAATAATTAAAACTAAAATAAATAAAAATAAAATAAATAAACAAATAAATAAACAAATAAATAAATAAACAAATAAA